ATATAGATCCCACCTGAGGTTGAAAGAAGTGGATGACGAGGAGGCCCAGGAGTTCATTGACAATTGCAAAGCAATGGCTGCTAGATTGCAATATCGAATATGTACTACGTAGTACCTCCCAAACCAAAACCCGAAATCCTCATGTCCACTCAGGTTGAAAAGGCCCGAATGACGCGAGCACAGGTTCGTGCTGTGGCAGCTGAGCTCCAGCGCAAGGCTGCTGAGGGCGGGAAGTGAACCAGTCCTGGAGGACTGGACTTTGGGGGCTAGGGCACAGCACCTCTACATCGAAGGTTACATATGCTATACTATCTAGATGGCTGGTTGTATACCCAAAAACTATACTAGCCCCTAGGCCCTTAAACAACTTCGTTGTGGAGGATAGCCGGTGCCCTAGATGACGAAATCGTCTGCTTTTGAAGCTGCAGGGGTGATGGTGCTTAGATGTACGTGTGCCTTAGCACTCCGCCGCGATTGCGATTTGATCCTACGATCGAGATCTGACCACGCTGGCTAGCGCCCAGTGTGCCGTGCTCATGCCGCAGACCAAAAGACAGGAAGATTGTGCATTGCATCGGCACTTTGCACCATGGCAGTAGCTGCATTATTAGCTTGAACCCAATTGGACCCACGCAGGCTCGTCGACTTCTACCCTACGAGATGAACTGGATCGGGTGTCACTCGGCTCTCATAGGATTAGATCGGCAATGATTTTTTTGTCGTGCTCTGATGAACCTACAGCCGAGTACCCCGCAATTGAGGTTGGCAAAAACTATTGGCCGTGGCTATGCGTCTGTGAAGCATGCTTCGGAGATTGGTGGGGCACTGGACAGCAATCTGTTGACGTCGATACATGGCTTAACCCCAAACCCTAAAAACCCTAAATCCTAAACCCTTAACCCTAAACTGTAACCCCTAAACTTAGACTTACTCTAAAGTTACGTTCCCACCCGAGCACCTCCATACGTGATGATCGTGATTCGTCGTGTCGAGCCTCAGGAGCAGNNTTCATGAGCGAGCTGCCAAGCAAGGGCTGGCTTTGAATTGCGAGGTTTCATATGTTTCTCTGCCGATGCTGGATGATGATCGTAGTGTTGTCTGGCGAAACTGGCCGATGATTCTGCCACACAAATTCGAGCTTAGGCTGCAACTAGCTAGCTAGCTATTCTTAATTGCTAGGGCTTATTGAATGTATTCTTTTGATGCAAAGTACACAATTAATCCAAGGTTGGTGCAATGGCCAAAGCTGGTCATCTTGATATGTTGGTCGCTGACTGGGATATGGTGCCCGGCTACTGGAAATATTTTATCCGCGAGAACCCCGGCCACCCCGCAAGTGATAAGATGAACACCTCCATTCCATGCACCCTCTACTGCTTCTAGTTATATGAAAGCAGGCTTGTTTCGCTTAGGGGCTTATTCGGGTGTAGGGACGTAGGTTTGGCTTTCTAGTTTACAATAAAACAACTGTCTAGTTGGGTCTTTTGGAATTTTTTGGTGCACAGGCGATGAAGCCACTGCTGTGAATGAGCAATGGATGTTTCTTATGTTTACAAGTGATCTGTGCCCTTCACCGGGAAACTCTGCTTCCTCGCGATTCCTGTGTGCTATCATACCGGCACAAAGGTATGTTTTGACTGTTGACAAGACAAACCTAACTCTGCAAGCAGCCTGCTGGGAGATTACGCAAAGCTTCAACAAGCTTTCCAACGAGGGTTTGGTTTTGTACGACTTGCCTTCAATGGGAGGAGGACCCGTGCTTTGATTGCCATTAAAGCAATTTGTATTTTGGCTAAATTAGATTATACTATTGGGTCTGGGGTAACTCAGTCTATTCCATTCACAATGTCTCCCAGGTGGCCCGGCTATATGCCTTCGTGACTGGCTTTCGTGGCGACTGGAAAGCACTTCGACAAGCTTTCAACTTCAATCGGTATGCCGACCGCGACAAGGCAGGACCGAGTGGGGTTAAAGTGTTAAACATACGGCCAGTTAAACTTATGTAGCTTCGATCATACAAATTACGGACAGGAGAGCCCAGTGTAGCTTTAAGTTGACCCTCAAAGCCAATTTTGCCCCGCTCCTCAATTGTGTGCTGCATCCCCCCTCAAGATATGTTGGATGTGCAACGCGACCAAGGGCGCCGAGGATGAGACGTATGTGTTTACAAACATACTTACAGCACCCTACATGCAAACTCTTTTTGCAGAAGAGCCCTGGGCCCTTCGACCAGCTTATCACAGCTTGTCGGGTTTTGATCTACGCCACATTTTTCCTGACATTCTGCATGCCTATCACCTGGGCTGTGGGAGAGATCTACTGGGGTCAGCTTTGGTTGAAATGGTTACAGCCGCTTTTTTTGGTGTGGGAACCATCGAGCATAGGCTGGCTGAAGCTACACGTCGTCTTAGGGCCTATGCTAAACTTAATAAATTGAACCTTCGCTTGAAAAAGCTGACGAAGAGCAAATTGGGCTGGTCAACGACGAAGTACCCAGAACTGAATCGTGGTTGCAACTTATAATAGTGTTCGATATATCTAGGTAG